ATCGTCAAGTTCGAAGTTTTCGTTCTTAAATCGATTGAACTAATGTTATGCTGTACGAATGGAGAGTACATCATTGCCCATTGTCCTGCATATGTTGCTTTCTGCTTCCGTTGCTGTACGACCCAATGTGAATTCATGAAGTAAAAGCACTCGGAGCTTTCTACTAGAAATCTCTATCTCTAATTCGAAACCAGCTTCCTTACTCATAGTTTTGTTGTTGTTCGCAACACATTATGCTCCTATATATATATATATATATATCCTAAGTATGGAAACTTCTAGAAGCTTCACGAATACTTTAGAGTATTAAAAAAAACGCAAAAACTTTGTTGCCAACCCAATAATATCATGAGAATATTAATATCGTATAATGCTTAATTTCAAGATTATATATACAATATCATGTAATATCAATAACATAAATATTGATATCACAAGGCATAGATATATAAAATCATGAAAATATTAATATCATAATATATATAATCTAATAATAATTGTAATAATCTATAACATCATACTAAATTTGAGTCATACGTAATTAATAAAACCTAAAATAATTTAAACAATGTGTAACTATTATCATTATGTCATAATACCATAATATAATCATAAACACAATGTAAAAACTAATCAGATAATTTTTTTAATTACGAAAATAATTCGTTGCCAATATCAAGATTGCCAGAATTCAAATAAATAATATTATTCAAGTTTTATGTTCTACTTATTATAATAATATGTATTTAAATATAGGTTTTTATCTTGAGATTTTCGTGTAATTTTGCATATGTATTACAATTATTGTCACTAGATTATATATATTATAATGTTAATATTTTCATAACTTTATATATATATAGTGGTGGCCAAAATTATTCATACAGGTAACAAATAATGATTCGATTCTAATATATCTGCTTCAGTTAAACCTATTGAGCTAGAGTTTTCAGCAAAACATAGCCAAGTATTGTCACTTGCTACACTAAAAGTATCAAACAAATTAAACGTATTTTGATGGTGCAACGATCAAGAATATTAAAATTATAGAGTTATAATTTAGTCTAAAATTATTCATACAATTAATTTTTCATCAAAAGAACAACTTTAATTCTAGTGATAAATAACAAATTGAATTAATTTCATATACAAACTTCTTAATTCGACTCCACTATTTCTGATGAACATAACCAAGAATAACTTCATCGTTTTTATTCTGAGATCAAAAAAATAAAAATAAAAACATGTACAGACAAAACATTTTCTCTTATCTCATTTTTGAATGATGGAATAGTATTAATATCGAGTTGAAAATCGTCCTTGATTTAGACATTCTTGTAAACGATTTTCAACTAAATCAATTAATTTTTCAGTTATATCGCTTCCAATCTGATTCCACTCTTCAATCAAAAGTTCTTTTAATTCGGGTTTACTTTTTGGTGGTGGAATATGTTGTCGAATACGTCGATCGAGTATAGTCCATAAATGTTCTCTAGAACTTAAATCAGAACGTTGTGACAGCTAGTTTAAACGTTTAAGATGTTTTTTATCCAACCATTTTGTTACAACAGATAATCGATGTTTAGGATCGTTATCTTGTTGAAATATAAAGTTTGACCCTAAATCCGTTTCCTTGATCCACTGAAATAAATTCTCTTCTAGAATATCTTTATATCTTTCAACTGTTAAAATTCCATCAATCAGCATCAGGTTAGCCACATCTTGTCTACTAAAATATCCTCATACTTTGACATTACCACCATGATATTTTATCATTGATACTATGCAGTTCGAACTAAATTCTTCACTGACCTTTCTCCACACTATAACCTTAGCATCAGAGTCAAATAAATTGAACTTTAATTCATCTGACCATATAATCTTTCTCCAAAACCGATCATCTTTCTCGATATGTCTGCCTGCGTAAACCAAGCGTTTTCGTTTGTTAAGCTCATTAATCAATGGTTTTTTCTCGTGCTACCCGCCCACAGTATCCAATTCCATGCATCCGATATTTAATCGTTGTCGTAGAAATTTCAACAACTAATAAATTCTACAACTCTATTCTCACTGCAACAGACAATTTGTTTCGACCAGAGAGCAGTGTTCTTTGTATAAAATCGTCTATTCTTTTCGTTGTTATTCTTTTTCTTCCATGACCTGGAAAAGTTTTTACCGTTTTGTATAATTTGTATCTCTTCGCAATCGATTGAACTGTTGCTCGCGAAATTGTCATGTATTTTGCAATATCACCTAATGAATATCAATCTAAATAGCAATTGACCACCAATTTTCGAAAATCTTCTGAATATTCTTTGGATTTGAGTGTCATGCCTTAGTAACTCAACAATCAAAGTATTGTTTGGAAATATGACAGAATAGATGGAGAGATGTAATAAAGTAAAGAAAGAACGATTATCAAATAACATGAATAGAAAGAACAAAGAAAAATCGAATGCAATGCAGAAATATAATCAAAAACACATCACCAGATTTTATAAACATTTTATTTGCAAACTGATAGCACCGTCTATATTAAAAATTCTGAAGAACAATTACATTCCTCCTGTAATATCTATCCATCACGTCTTATGCTTTGAATAACTGAATGTTTACTATCTCACGTGGACGATACTTTATAGAGCTATGAGATAAGAGAAAATGTTTTGTTTGTACATGTTTTTATTTTTTATTTTTGATATCAGAATAAAAACGATGAAGTTATTCTTGGTTATGTTCATCAGAAATAGTGGAGTCGAATTAAGAAGTTTGTATATGAAATTAATTCAATTTGTTATTTATCACTAGAATTAAAGTTGTTCTTTTGATGAAAAATTAATTGTATGAATAATTTTGGACTAAATTATAGCTCTACAATTTTAATATTCTTTATCTTTGCACCATCAAAATACGTTCAATTTGGTTGATACTTTTAGTGTAGCAAGTAGCAATACTTGGCTATGTTTTGCTGAAAACCCTAGCTCAATAAGTTGAACTGAAGCAGATATATTAGAGTCGAATCACTATTTGTTGTCTGTATGAATAATTTTGGCCGCCACTGTACATCGTAATATCCCCTGTGTAGCTCTACTTCGAGCAGCTTGTCTATGCTCAAACGTAGAAGATTTCATTAAAGCATTATTGCACATGGAAATGATATTATTATTGAATGGTTATCCACCAATGTTTATTTCGTATCATACGAAGAACTTCTTTAAGATACATAAGGCAGAAAATGTATGGATGGACTGAATAGGATTCTCGAGTGTATCGACAACTACATCAGCAGATACTATACAAATTAACACGAAGAGAGTTAAAAAAAGAGAATCAAAAGATGCTAAAAACAATGATTGAAGCAGTATTCAACAGCCGAAACAGCCGTCGAAAGAAGAATAAGTCATTATTCACTACACGTTTGAGAGTAGTCCACTATTGGGTTTCAAACGAGAATATCATCTGCTCTGGTAAAAGTTCTATATCTATAAAGGATCACGCATCGAAAGCCATTGACTACCCATATTGTAAATATCGGACAGTTTTTAGCGGTAAACCGCGGTAAATTGTAGCGACGGGAGCCGATAACCGGACCGGTAAAACCGCGGTTAACCGCCGATTTTCTTCCGGTTTTTATCACATGGGTAGTTATTGGGACACTAAACAACCGTTGCTTGCAAAGCTTTTTCGTTCACAAAAAACCACAACGAAAAGTGCTCACAACCGTGCTATCGAACCAAATCGACACTATCGAACACATTCCTACAACAACAGCAACCAATCAATGTTGAAACTACTTCTACTTTCAATGAACCATTATCGCAATCTGCATTCTTGACCAAGCACTTCTGCTTCTCTATTTCTTTTTGAATTATCCCTTTTAAACTCACCCCATCCTAGCCTGGTCGAAATATGTGTCGTAGTAGCTAAACAATTCTATTGATCGATTATGATTAATTAGAATTTGTCTAAATTCACCTTCACCCCTCACTCATCCATCCTCACATCTCTTAGCCATTTAGACACAGAATGCAAGAATTGATTTTTATTGCACTATATTAGAAAAAAGAATCATTTAATATCATAATTGTATGTATTTTAGGGTGTCGGTTGAAATTGTTCACGTAATAATTTTTTATATGGTTGATGTTTTTGTACAGTTATTCGTTGTCGAGTAATCATTACAATAATAATAATAGCTGATATAATATTGATGAAAAATGGAGCAAGAAAATGAAATATAAGTATGAATGAATTGAATGCTCGAAGATTGCTTGAATAACTAACAATTCACCAAATTCTTTTCTCATCAACATCATCATCATTTTCATCTAGTAGACGTCGATGAATAGGATCATGAGTAGTTGTACTAGTAGTCATAAAGAGAAGAATAAGAATAATATATTTAACTATTTGTTTGCTCTTGTTTTTATCAAATCTAGTTCCTTTTATTATGGTAATTGTTCTTTCTATATCTACACATGCATTTAACCATTGATCCATACTAAGACCAATTCGTAGAAAAAAATCTATAGAAATACATTGAAACTTTAAAAATGATTGATTTGTCATGTATGTTATTTGTGCAATGATAAGTATCCAAAACTTCAATGCAAAAATAATCATAATAAGTAAAGTAATAATTGACGAAGTCAACAAATAGAGACCACAACCAATTTTGCGTGATTCTTTATTTCTAAATGTAATTATCGATAGAACACTATCAGTAATTCCAGCTATGATAATGATTATTGTCAATGCCACACTGACTTGTACAATAGATGGTTGATGTTTAATATTTATATGTGGTTGAATATAATAACCTAAGATAGCATCGAGTGAAAGATCAAATAAATTTGAAGTAAATTGACATCTTGCTCCATAAAAACATTTTGGACAAACACATATTGATGTTTGTGGACAAGTTGTTTTGTCTTGTAAACAATGTGCACCATTTTCACAATTACTTTGACCAAAACAATTATGTTCAGTTCTATGATTGAATTCAAAACAATCAGTCAAACATTGATGATCATAATCATTACAGAAACAAAAATGATTATCATCATAGAAACAAGATAAAAGTGGTGAACGTTTTTGACATGGTAATTGATAATATTTGATACGACGAAGAGGA